CCGTAAGCGTCAGGCCGTAAGCCGAAATAAGGGGCCTTGATTTGGCCAGAAAAGACCACACCATGTTACCTCACCGCTCATGAGGTCCACATGCGCATGCCTCGACTTGCAAGGGGTGGTCCGCATGCCTCGACCTGATGGTCGTGGTGAGGGGAACCATGTCCGAGGCCCCACCACGGCCAGAAAGGGCTCAAACCTCGCGCAACCGTGGAAACCACATCCATGGGGGGGGAGTGAGTGAAAACCACCGGTGTCATGAAAAGCCTTGCAGGGAGTGTAATCAAGAAAGTTTTTTGATAGGTCCCTTTTGGAAGCTGCTTGAACCTCCTTGACTCAGCCCGCATCCAGTTTCAGTGCTTCAAACAGCACGCCAGCGCCCAGACCGGCCGAGGCCAGACCCCTGAACGACGAAATTCGTGCCTGTTGGGCTCGGGCCGCCGGGTCGTGCGGAGCCGCCTTCGCCACGCGCCGGGGTCGGCCGCGCTGCGCCGCGCCCAACGCACTTCGCGAACGAGTTGGGTAGGTAGAGCCACTCACTTCGCGAACGAGTGGAGTCGATGGTTGATGGAGGGAGTGACTAGGGGCAAAGGTTGGACCAGCTTGGTCCGAACCTGGTTTTGGGTGGCCTTTCAAAGTGCCATGTAGCAAAGAGAAACCTTTCTTGGGGTCAAGGGTTGATTTTCCATTCGGTTTCAGGCAACACCCAATGTACACATCTTCATTTCATGCCCTGAAGTGAACCAAGGCTGGCCCATGCTTTTCTCTATTTTTCTCTAAACTCTTTTCATGAGTTGTCTTCTTTGGGCTGGTGCCGATTCCCTGGGGGAGGGGTCAGAACGAAGCTCCAAACAGGGAACACATCCAGAAGAAAGGGGGCTTCCGGTATCAGCACGTTCGAAGTTTGCCAGTCGATCTTGCTTTCTTCCGATCTTGAGTTTTGGTAGAAAACATGAGCGAGCCAACCGCTACACCCAAGGATCTGTGACCTCAACCATCAGCAAGCCCCAAAGAATGGGCCCTCTCATCAATCCTCAGGTTTTGAACGCGAGGCTAAACAGAGCCCCGTCGTTTCCTGGACTGTTGATCCCACTCGGCCAGTGGCATCCCGACCGAACCAGCGGCAGGTTTTTGCACGACGTCCAGTCACGAAGTCATGGCAAGGGTTTCAAAGCAGCAACCTTCTACCCAGACGCTCCGTTCACAGCCCGACTGGTCCCTCAAAACCTAGGGATTTGAGACCCCAAACCCCTCCAGATGAGGGTCCAGGGTCGCGTCTGGGCACATGCAATTTCAATCTGCACAACATGATGTCGCCGCCGTCGTCAGGGTGTCCGCCTGCCCAGTGGGAGAACAAGCCCTGTAAGACTGCGCATAGTTCTGGCACTCGCCAGTCCTTGCACGATACAGCTGGCGGCACACTGTGGGGGAGGTGTTGGGCACAGACGCACCTTTTGGGTGTGCAGAGTCCATGTGGTGTATGCAGAACCCTAAGCCCCAAACCCGATGCATCACTTGCAACGATTCAATCAGCTCTTAGATAATTCTTGACAGTCCTGCGCTCATTAGACCCTTAGCCTTAGGCCCTTTGGCTTGTAAGGCGCTCCCTTAACCTCTTTAAGCCCGTAGCATCTAAGGACATTAAGAATCCATGAGCGGCGGTATTTAATGCAAAGAAACACATCTGCGGTAGAGACACAAGATACACGGATTCTCATGCTTCAAGCGCTGCCTAACCATCAATCATCCTCCACTGTCAGCGAATTTTGAGTCAGCCCCACTTCGAGGGATTTGTTTTCATCCGAGTCCATGTTTCTGCAGAAGGACCTTGATCTTGACTCTCTAGACTCTGGTAGGCTGTGGGGAGAAAGTGGTGAGAAATCAGGACTTGAACAGCAGGGCAGCGGATCTTGGATCTTGGACCTCCTGGCGTGGGTTGAGGAAAGTCATGGCTTAGATCAACACCCCGCTTGCTTCGCCACATGGGTGCAGCAAGGGGAGAGACAGGTGCCTCCACGGTGCCCGTCGGGATCCTTGAAGGCCAGCAGAGGCGTTCGACTCTGTCGCCCGAACCGTTGGAAGGCTTTTCGGGTGCGCTGAAAGCGGAGAGGAGACGTGCGCTTCGGTCGGGGTACGCCGACCGAATGGAGACCGCGCGGAACTGGAGGAAGCAAATCCCTCCAACATGGATGGGGAAAAACATGAACAAACTCTTCATTTGTGTGCTGACATGTAATCAAGAGCGTGGCCACGATGTATACGTCCTTATGAAGAAGGTGATGGGTGGAGTTGTTGGAGCTACTTCGACGGGCTGAAAGCAGAACAAGCTCCATGTTGGAGGTGTGGGAAGAAACCCTATGCCGGGCGCCCGGCAGCAGAACACTGAAGCCAGCACACCAAGCTTGGTGTACCAAGGCGCAGGTGGTAGATCAAGTCTGGTAAGGTCTGATCACCCACGGATTCCGCTGGCGCACCCGCCCGGCTGCTTAACGGGCTTGGAGTCACGGCTGGGATCATGGTGAGGTCCGACCGAGCCGTCGACGGACCACGCCGCGGTCCCCCGTCACCGCCGGTGACGCGGGCTCTCTGTGTCGCCCGAGGGTGTCGGCCACGTTTCGAGGAACGACCTGGAAACCCAAGACATCTATCCAGTCTGAACCTTGAGCAGCTCAGGGAGGACCTTCGTGTTTTCATTGGTTGCACCATGTTGCATATGTTTCTAGCAGCATGCATGCAATTGAGTATTCGCTGTAGAACGCGTTCTACAGGTCAAAAGCAAAGACAGATCTTGAGTAGGACCTGAGTAGACGAACTCTTCTTTTGTCCGGCCCTTCGTGCAAAGAGACCCGACGTATCGACGTCAACTCTGCTTGGCAGTCCTGGTTGGCTTCTCGAGCAAGTGACGCTCGGGGAAGCCAGGGACAGTAACTGGACCCTCGGAAACAGGTTGAGCATGGCATGAACCCGAGGACGTTTTTGCATGTTTTTTGGTCAGGTGTTCCTTTGGGCGTGATGCGCTTTTACCACGAAGTAGGCTTGAACCAACCCGCCCATGGCTTTCAGATTTGTTTCTGCACGAGAGGGTTTGCTGGATCTTGCGGCTGGTAGTGACGTCATTCGTTTTGACTTCACAAGCACAAAACGAAGATATTTGTTTTCGAAACCAGTTGTTCAACAAACGCAACTTGAAGGCTAGCATCCAAGGCCTTTGAGATCCAGTATGTTTGTTGATTATTTTGGACCCCCTAGTGACACGCTCCCCCCAGCCAGTGACAAATTAAGACCATGAAGGCATCATCGTTCACCGTCACGAGTAGAGTAGAGGCCCTGTCACCCGTTCGATGAGTGGCGGGGACATTTCCATGGAATGTGTCAGTGTTGGGAGCGTTCGGACGCTACGAACGGGGCTCCTGGACTTACTACTAGGAACAAGAACTTAAGAAGCTACTACTAGGAGCAGCAAGGACGCATCGCTGCGAAAGCTACGGAGCGATCGGACGCCACGTTCGGGGCTCCACGTCGTCCACTTGTGACCTGAAAACTGCGGGGGGGTGATGGACGCTGGTATCCCTCAAACTAACAAGATCCAGAACAAGGGACTGGAGCTCCCCACTAGGGGCTCCCGTCGGCTTATTACGCCATGCTTAACGTCTCGAGGTGTTCCTTGTGGCAGGGTCTCTGGATTTGGCTTCAACTTTTGGGTAGACTTCTTTGCGTGGTGGTGTTCCGAAGGATCTCCTAAGGATCTCCACTTGTCCTTTTCATCCTGTGACCCATGGCCGTATATATTTTCCCCCAGCCAGTGCCATCATGCGCATTGGCCACGGAGCAAAGCCGATCTTCCCCCCAAAACCGCGAGCTGGTGCGATCGGGCGGGCGCGAGCGGCCCGATTGGGGCCCCGGCTTGGATGCGCGAGACTCGGAACCCCTTCTGGAACGTGACAGTTCCCACGTGTTCTACGACCAACCCTGTGACAGGAACTGAACCGGGCGCGTCTCGACCGACTTCCCGTGAACACGCCGATGGTTTCCCAAACAAACCTGGAGTGAAACAGCTCGGTTACCTTGGACATGTCACACAATGAACCTAGGGCTCCAACCATATCCTCAGAAAGTGGTTAGACCCCCCCAAACCCACCATAACCATTTTCTCAGGAGGTAGTTGGAGCCCTAGGGGAAAAACACCGTGGTTTTTTGCGGGGGTTCTTCCCCTGCCTCTTCTTCCGCGGGTTCTTCCGTCCCTCCTTAACGGATCCGGCCGCATTGACCTTGCTTTCCGAAGCGAAACGGAGAAGGCCCCGCTCCGTGCGTCGTAGGTGTGTGTGTGTGTGTGTTCTTTTCTTTTTCTGCAACATTCTGCAAACCCTTAACCGGACCTTCCAACGACCCAACAATGTTTGATAGTTTTTGGTGATTGACCCGGTGATCCGCGCACATGGACACAAATCAGCGCCAAACGGCCAAACGACCGCAAGGTAACCGCAACACGCACGCAACACGAACCGCCAACGACCACACAAATCCGCTCACATGACGCAAAACAAAACAAAACGACCAATACAAAACAATACCTTTTCATACCTTTTCCATTATTTTTGAGGTCGTTGGAAGATCCAGGTTGAGTTGAACAAACGGCTCTTCTTTCAGTCCGTCCAGGTGAGACCCCGCGGACCCCAGCCAGCACCGGACAGACACCAGTGTCTTTAAATAGCCTCTTAATGGGGTGTCACGGGGTGTCCCAAAAAGCCACCGGACTTGCAAGGTGGAGGGTGTCAGAGCGGTTGGTCAAAACCAATGCAAACTCGGCCGCCGTGCTAAAAACAACAGCCTCCCCCCCCAAAAAATAAGGGTAGCCGACGAGCCCCGGGCCACAATGCTACGCTCAGGTTGCCTAGCTTGTTTGGGTTTCCCTAAGGGGTGTCCAATTATAGCTCGTTTGGTTTTTTTTGAAGCAAATCCTCAGATTTCTCTCACGCCCTTCGCGGGCGAAGCTCTCGATGCAGGACATTTGGATCATGCTCTGGGCTTTGGCCACGATGAGGCTTGGCTGGTGTGGTGGGAAAGAGGCGGCTTCGCTGCGTGACCACAGACACAACACAACGTTCCAAATCTCACACTCAGGGGTAGGCTATCAGATGCTCGACCAACCATGGAAGGCGATCCACATTCTACGCCTTTGATTTGAGGATGCGCATGGCATTTTGGAAAAGGGAGGGTCTGCAAAAGGGGAGCCGCAAATCAAGAGGGGGATCCTTCCAACGTCTCCCAAGCAAATGGGATTGAACTGTATACCTAGACAGCCTAGATCCTATCAACTGTGCAGCCTAGAATTTGCGTTGGCCTTGGCCGGTCTTGTAAGACCGGCCGCAAAGCAAACGTCTTGCACCGTTGGAAGATCCAATATAGTTGTACTAGTAGGTGTCGGTGCATTCCCTTATTCCACACCCACCAGCTGCTTCTTGAGGCTTCCAGGACTATATGCAGAGGGCTCGCATGCGTCTCTGACGTGATCATGTAGAGCCCCCCGCTATTTGGTTGATTGGGGGGACGTCCGGTCCGGTGTGCGGAGCAAGCGCTCAAAATCGTTCCGAGTCTTTCGTTTTTCCTAACTCAACCAGATCGAAACGTCAAAAACAAGCAGTTCTTCACGAGAAGTGGATACACTGGAAAACCACTTCATCCTGTCGGGTCATCCTGTCGGGGTGTCCTGGCCTTCGACTACCCTACCTTACACGTAAACAGGCCTCCAGACAGGACACCCAGACAGGAAGTGCAACATGAAAAGATCATGGAACGTATCCTCCAAACTCAGGCACTTCGGGGATCGTGAGTCGCAGCTCATCGGGCATCGAGACGGCGTGGCGCGTGGAGACCGGAGGCATCGAGACCGGAAGTTGGTGGATGCCCTCGCGCGGCGTGCTCAGTTGGGGGAGCCCAGAAGCACAGGGAGAGGGGAGAAGCCTAGCCAAGCCTAGCCCTTAGACTTCCAAGCGCTATTAGATTAATAGGCTAATTATACCGAACCAATCCGAACCAGCTAAGAATTTTACACCAAAAAACCAGTTCAACCATTTTTTGTTGTGGTCGAACGGAAGGCTAGGGTAGGCTTTTTGTTGCTGTGGCGAGACGGTGCATCATGCCAGGCTTTTGGCATCACGCGACGGTGCAGTCGTGTTTTTTTTGTATTCTGGGAGTTGGCAAGTTTGCATTAAATTAGTATACTGCATACATTATACACACACCCTGGAGGTCCAAAGACCATTGTTGAACTGGTTGATCGGGCTTTCTAGTGCAACAAATCTATACTTAATAATGGTTCTGAAGTTTTCAACCGAATGGTTGTTGGAATCCCCATGGCTTTGTTCTCCAAGAGTTCGTTGTTCTATCGACTTTGAAGATCGGCTTGCATCATCGGGAGCATTCCGGCGATGGGACACCAAGCCAGCATTGAACCAGGGCAACACATGGAGTCTGGCAGATTCTTAGAGGGAGTGCTCCAGTCACAGTGAGCCAAAGACTCTTTGAGAAAGGCTTTTAAATACAAACCATCATCCACTGGGCCCTGGTGGATATACTGACAGGCTTCGCCAACCGGCGATGCCCTTGGGGGCACTGTGCGTATCCGCAGGGTCTGTGCACAACAAAATGGACGATTAGCACAGCTTCTGACGCCTGCGCACTCCCACACTCCCACACAGGTGTGTGTACGAGGGTCCGAGTACCAGGGCCCTAGTAGATGATGATGGGGCCTGGCCGGCTGCAGCGGAGCACCTGCACCCAGTGGTCGCACAGTGATGTCCGATTTCAAGAGCCCAATACGCTTGGTTTGTCGTCAGAACAAGACCGACCACCAGCACGATGACCAGGAGTTACCAATTGGGGAGCCCTATCCATGGAGCAAGTCGGGGTGCCCCACGGACTAGACACCTCCTGGTAGGCTACGACGAATTCTTTCAAGCCCTCAGAATTCGAGCCCTCCGTACAGGGATTCCGGTGAGTGGTTCTTGAAACAGACTTGTTTCACGCAATGGTCAGGTTCATGCAGCATATGCCAAAAGATCCCGCACTTTCTTCTTGAACATGGTAACATGGGTTTGGAGCGGGAATTTGGGCGGGGCCCGAGTGGGACATGCGATTTAGGGTGAAGAATCCTGCAACGCAATAGACAAACCGAGGGGAAACAAACCAAGCATGCGTAACATTGAACTAAAGGCTTGCTAAATAAGATAAAGAACACAACCAGATGCTATCCGAGAAAGTTGGAACCATGCTTGGGCAGTGGGACACTTGTGGAAGCAGTGTGGCAATCAGTGGGGCAAGTGTGGTGTCCTAGTGAGTGGTCACAAGAAAAAGATCGGAAGCGAAAATGATCATTGGAAATTTCTGAATTACTATTTCTGGGGAGTTGGGTGAAATAGTAGTGGAAATCTATGGCAGGGGCAGGTTGGTGGTTTAACCTGGGTCAATCTGAGACAGAGACGTTGGGAAGTTTGGTGGGAAGAACGCATGAATGAATGCATGTGGGCAGGTTGGTGGTATAAAGTTCGTAAACCTGAGGTGGTGCAGAAGCTTCTGAGGTGCTTCCTTGTCCACATAACGAAGAGATTGTAGTGCACGGATCTCTCCAAAAAGCTCCTGCTTTGGACAACTGCAGGTTTTGGTGTGACACTTGCAGGCTTTGCAGTCCTCGTGACGTCCTCGTGGTTTTCTCAGCTTTGATGCATCATGTTGGGCAAATCTCTATCTTTTACCTGTTGACACTGCAGTTCCTTTTGAGCCCGCGAGCCGGTGCCGCACCCAAACCCAGCCCACACAGTGTCTCCCCCTCGTGCTTTTCACCGTCTGCCGGACGGCGTCTGTCGGTGCTGCATCTCTCTCGGTGCCAGGGCGCAGTTGGAGGACTTTCAGCCCCAGGCCCGCGGCAGGATCGGGACGGTTGGCGCGGGGGGGATGAACTCGGTGGGAGATCGGCTTGTGCTTGTGCTTGTGCTTTGCTGCCTGGAGGTCTCAGGGATTAGTGCCCTTGAGAGATCATGGGGACCAGTGGTACCAGGTATATAATGTGTTTTAACTATAGGGTCATGGAGGGTGGTGTTTCTACGGACACCGGTGTCACTGCCGGCTGACGCCTTGGTTGGTTGGGAGTTTCCGAAAGCCCTTAGGAGTCAACAAGGTGGGCCTGGGAACCCAAATCCATGCGGGTTGTGTGACCTGACCCCCTGATTTCTTTCGGGTCAACCCGTCCGGGACTGGCACGGCACCAAACGAGTTTGGTGCGTGGACCGCCCGGTGCCCCCGAAAAAGCACCTGCGACCTGGTCCGACAGGATCGTCGTTCCGGGCAGTTCCCGGTGGCTTCCTCCTTTGGGGAAGAAAACCCATTGCTTAGACGTCCAAGCACCATTAAATGCATAGGCCGACGACCGAACCCCGAACCAGCTAAGGATTTTACATCACAAAAACCATGTTCAACCATTCCTTTAATGGTCGAATGGAAGGCGGTCTCGGGTAGGCTTTTGGCTCAAATCCTGAGTTTGACCTGGTGTTTGTAGTGTAAAATCTTGAGTTGATTCGGGACTCAGAAGGCCCCTGACCAAGGCCCTTTCGAGCCTGCGACCCCTGCGTGAAGACACCTTCGATTCACGGGCCCTTTGGTTCGCTCAGATCCATAGGGAATGGTATATATACCATGACCATCCAGGACCCATCCCAGAGGTGTCTATCAAATTCGGCAGCCTCTTCGAGTTTTGTGAGTGTCCCAAAAGCCAAACTTGGGCTCGGTCCTGGACGTCCACCGGTTCAGCACGACGGGTTCGCGTCTGCTTTTGGGTTCGCCCTCTCGGTTTCGGGTACCGTGCGCGGTTTGACCGGTCCCCAGGCAGCCGGTTTCGGTCTCTCTCACCACTGGGTTTCATTGGTTTTGGGAGGTTTGGAGGTTTCCCATCGGTTGGGATGAGAGAGAGTCCCATGCCGCCCCTCAGATCCTGGTTTTCGTTTGGAAAGCGGAACTGCCAGAAAAAGCTCCCGTTCGAAGGAGCTCTGGTTTGGATTGGTTCAGATGCGGTCTGGGCAAACGTCCGCTTCGCATGCGCAGGGCCTCGCGAACTTGGCGTACTCTTTGGGCTTGTTGCGCATGCGACAGCCACGGCTGTTGCGGGCCATTGGCTGCTGGGCTCACTTCAGTATGGAGCTGGAAACCCAAACAACCAGACATGTACTGTAGTGATATTTGATTCATGTTTTCACAAACAACCACTTGCTATGTAAAGGAACTCAAGCAAGCCATATTGGATCATCCATTTGTCTTCTGGTTGGGATCCAGGGGTTCCAGGGGCTTGAAGTGGGATGGGAGGCAGGACGAACCTCTCAAGTCGCTCAAGCTGCTTCCGTTCGGGGTCACCTGGCTGGAGATCTTCACTTGCAGGTCTTCAGACAGGGCAGCCCCGACAGGAAGCGCTAGGTGCAAATTTCATTGAGGTTTCGGGCCCAGATGCTCCGTGAACACAGCCCTACTTCCAGTCCCGAACCGAATCGAATTGGGATCGGTTTTCGAAGCCGCCGGGGTCTGACCCCAGGATTCGGAGCTCCCACCGTCGCGTCGTGGGTCACGCCTTTCGGAGCCTGGCGCTCCGAAACCTGGTCGTGGTGCCACATACCAGCACAGGCTCCACGTTCCATGGGTTATGTGGGGAAGACAGGTCCCCAGATTCCACCTTTTTCCCTGGACGAAAAGGGGGCGCCATCCACGGAACCATTATGTGAGGGTGTTCGTCGGAGTGTACCATATATGGCGGACCAAATGGATGGGTTGTAAGGAAATCTTTTGCAGGAAAGCAGGTTCTTCACCTACCACTACCTAGAGCCCATTTGACCTCTGTTTTGATAGGTTGAGTGGTTGGTGGTCCAAAATAGAGGTCATGCAGGTTCTAGGTATAGATTTCCGGTCGATCGTCCCATTTTGTCCCCAAAGCAAGGTCCGGGATTCCACGCTGCCTGGTTCTCTTGTCGTGGGCCGAGGCCAATCGATGACCCAAGCGCGCTTCGAGCAGTTGTCGGAGCAAGAGGCGAGCTGATAAAATTCATGGTGGGTTGATATCTGTGGGTCAGTCATTCCACCTTCATGTCGCTTCATCCCTCTCAGCCGCGGATCCAAGAAGGGGTGAACATCGCGGGGTGAACACTCGTCCGCATTCCTTTCGCTTTGGAGCGGAGCTGGCGGGTCCGCTTCGTGCGCGGGTGTCGTCCGCTATGCCCGTAGAGTTCGATCGGCCCTCGGTGAGCTGGAGCAACCGAGCGGAAGCCACCGGTTCGGGCGAGGGGTCGAGCTGGGCGGTTCCGCCCCGAGCGAAGTCGAAGAAGGCATCCAGGGTTGAGAAGTGTTGGGAAGATCATGGCTGAAGCAAAGATGCGTTAACCGTTAAGTTATGTTAAGTCCACACCCTATAGAAGTCCAATGACACTATTTTTTTTGACCGACTGAAGTAGAGGAAGCTCCGAAATCTTCACGTCCCCATCGTCAGATCGTGACCTTTCTCTTTTGATCGTCTAGTTTTTGGCTCGCAGGGTTCACCCTGGAAGTCTGAGCTCATGTTAAAAATGGTTGATTCTGGCCGTAAGTAAAAAACATTACAAAACCATGCGGTAATTAACGTTGGTTCTTAAGGTCTTCAGACCATTGAGACATCTTGAAACCCATGGAATCCTGCAATAGTCAGTATGGGAAGTCACGTATAGTTTCACGTATCGTTCCTATCTCGAAACGACCGGCTCACCTGCCACGACTCGTCGCCAGATGGCCATCCTCGTCTACGGCATGGCCCTGCTTCGCCACCGAGACGCAGGTGGCGCTGGACGCGTCCGCGACGCACGCGTCCGCACGCGTGGACGGGCGAATTAGGGCCACCACGGAGCTGCTTTCCTCACGCAAACGCCCGCTTGGTTTTTTGGTGGAGCGACAAGTAAAGCAGATCTGATCCAAGGAGCTGCATGTTGGTTGGGTTGTTTTCTTTTTGGGACGCCTTCCGTGGGATTCGTGGACACGACTAGGTCTTTTGAAATCCGAATCTTTCTCAGCTGTTAGAAGAACACAGAGAGATGCCAAGAGATACAAGAACATTGGCTTCGTCAAGCAGGTCAAGCAGTGGCTATCCTACACATTCCAACGCCCATCGGCACTTTTTCAGTCTTCAGGGGGGCCCGAAGGTCGAAAGTGAATGGAGCTTTGGCTGGTTTACTTGCTCACCTGAGTGTTGCGGCTGGATGAGGAGCTCCGGCTGAACCTGTTGACGGGACAAGTTTTCAAGATAGAACAATGCCTCCAGCTGAGCCGGGTGGGCATTCACCAAAGGCATTGGGCGGCCCTACCTTTTTTGGATCAAACGTCCAATCTCGAAGGCTGAACTCACATCTCCCTCTCTCTCTCTCTCTATTGTATCAGGTGAGGCCTTTCCTCAAGAATCTCAAAAGCGAGGGCTGTTTTGGACCAACATGGAGTCCGACGGACACTATATAAACCTAGGCTATCCTAGGCTTACCAGAAGCATTCAGAAGCATATATAATGCTTTAGTGATCTGAATGCCAAGGAACCATGAGTTTTTACAAGGGATTTTTTGCACGACAAAAACCCGATCTCAAGGACCTCAAGACCGTGTCTTTCGAAAGGTTCTCGTCTTCCGAAGGCCGAGCGTTTGCGCTGCAGCGTGGCGAAAGCCAGGTTTCTTGTCGTCGGTGTGCCGATCCGCCGGGCGGCCCGGCGCCGGGGACATGAAGGCCCAGCTGATTCTTCTGCTGGCTGGGCCTGGCGGGCCGGGATGGCATCCCCAATGCATCAATACCCCTAGCCGCCCAGCCTTCAGTTCGACCATTCAAAAAGAATGGGAACGACCTGGTGGTGTAGTGTAGTGCGGAAGAAGTAATTAAAACACTGGTGGTATTCCCATGAAAGCCATGCTTGGCCACGCATTTTCGGGAGGGGGTCATTGTTCAGTGCCCTTACTGCCCCACTCCCCTCCACCGGATCCGCCCTCTTTCTCCACCGGATCCTCCCGCCGATGGGCCCCAGGTCCTGCAGCGCTTGCCGGAGTGGCAGCCCCGTGGCGTGCGCAGAGCCCTACTGGGGCGTGGTGGCAATTCCCAGACCGCGACCTGCCTGGGACTGCCTGGGAGGACTGCCGCTCTCAGACTTGACTTGGCACCACCCCTGGGCCGTTTTGAAGGCAGTCCGGACTGGCAGTCCCAGGCAGGTCGTGTCTGGGAATTGGAGAGCGAAGAAGATGAGTGCGGTGACGAACGGGGTGAATGAGTGAACTAAGTCGAAGCTACCAGGAGTCACATGTCGGGACTGGCGGGGTGGTATTTAGTTAGTCCCTAAGTGCCCATGGAGGGGTCGGGCCCTCATATGGAGGGGTCTGGGGTCTCAAACCCCTAGGTTTTGAGGGCGTCTGGGTGAGTGGATAATGGGCACCCTTAGCCTTCATGGATAGCACCCCGTCTGGTGACTGCTGGTAGATGGCCTTCTTCTTGATCTTACATCGGACGCATAGGCGGTCGGCTTGTGCGAAAGACCTCCCCGGCGAGTCGTTGGACGGCTCGCATGCGGCCCATGTGTGGGCTCTATGTGGTGATGTTCTGTATCAGGAGAGCTCCACGTCGGCCTATGTATAGCTGCTAAAGTTGAGCGCCACAGTGCTGCTACCTGTGTGGCGCTGGAATAGATATATAATGATGTTTGTGCGTGAGACAAGGCCCCAACGTACGTCCAGTCTGACCCCGGTCCAAGCCTGGTCCAGACCTCCAAACGAGTATAGTGCTTTTTAGTATAACCAACTCCAGTAAAATGAGGTCCAACTGACCTGTAGGGGACGGGTTGTTGGGCCCCTACTTTTGAGGTCGAGATCTTGGTCGGTCACCACGGGGCGTGACCAACGACAGATCCGATCCAGGAGTCGAAGCATTGGGTCTCCGATAGCCTACCCGAGACCGACTTCCGTTCGACCATGAAAACATGGTTGAACTATGTTGAACTGGTTTTTGCAGTGTAAAATCATTAGTTGGTTCGGTGAAGCCTATTAATTTTAATAGTGGTTGGAAGTCTAGGGTACCTACTCCATCCTCCTACTCACTCTACTTACTCTACTCACTTCATGTTGACCCCATTGGATATCTTATATTTCTTTTTCTCCCTCACCTTTTGGGGCTAACCTTGCATGGCCTGCATGGCCATGGCGGCCTCTCTTGGATGGACCGTCGCATGAAGGCTTGGCGGGCCAGCAGAAATACGCTTTTCGACGAGCAGAAGATACGCCAGAAGGTCGTTCTGGTCGTTTTGGCCCATGGTGATACATGAGACGTGTCCCATGACCTGTGAACAGTCATGAAAAGAGTGGAGTAGTTTACTACCAGAGTGGGTGGCGCACGGGCGCGCCCCGAGAAGTTCTTTTTTCGATGGGGGGGGGTCCATATAAACCACCTTACTTGGGGTAACTTGTGCCATCTACTCTGAAACCACTATAAGTTATCATAGGTTGGCATTAATGTGGAAACACGACTTAATTAACCTCCAACAATCATCATGCATCTCGTACCCAGGGAATGCAAGGATGTTCCCCCCGAACGGCGTGCCCGACGCGAACGGCCTTGCGCGACGGGCTTAAGGTCATGCTTCTTCTACAGCCTGGGTTTGCTGGGATTTCGCCAGGAGATGGACCAAGCTGCAGGTATGGAGACATGTGGAGCCCTCTTTCTCTGCTAAATGGACAAGTTATACAGAGCCATCCACTTGACAATTCTTGGCTCAATCCCTGACGCCTGTGCTGTTTTTGAACCAACATTTGCAAAAGCATCGGATTTGATCCAAGAGTTCTACTATGCCACCTGACAAGTGTTAGCTCAATTCGGCCGGTTGTTTACACAGCCCTTGGTGACTTGAGCGTAGACAACCCTTCTCTCCCCCTGAGTAGACCAGCGCCGCGGGCTGATGCCGCGGGCGCTGGGGCATGCCATTCAGGAACCCCACATTTTTGAGACCGTATTGGCTGAAGACTAGCTTAAGAGGCAGAGGTCATGTCATCATCACTCTCAAGCTCTAAGCTCTTGCCATTTTCATCTTAGGCTATTCCATTCTATTCCCATTCTTGATCATTTCCGTGTTCAAGAATTTTCAAGGTCTGGACCTCCTGAAGTTCAGGTTCACACCCCCGCCCGGGCCGGTCCACGGCCGGTCAAAACCGATCGCGTGCCGATCACGGATCGGTTTTTTCACCGATCTCTCTTGAGTGGTGCTGCCTCCATCTGCCTCTAAACGGTACATTTCCTTACCATCCCTTTAAAAACCCTCCAACCAGGGTGGTCACTTGGCCCCCAAAAAACACCCCTCAAGATGGGACACCTCTTCAAGATAAAGGACTGGTATGCGCCACCTCCTTCGCGCGCCACGGTTTCACCGGCCTCGGCGGGTCGCCGGTCGCAGGAGGAGTTCTTCCACCAAGCATGTCTTCAGCTTCGTGGCCGCCTTCCCAGCTTCAACGGGCAGGAGCGGCTCGTTCGTGAGGCCCACGAGGCGGAACCGCCACCACGGTGAAGATGGCGCGGACGGAGGTCTGGAGGTTGGCTCGGACCCCGCGACCACCCAAGAAGGAAGGTGTCATATAGAAGGGCTTTTTGGGGACCAAGCGCAGTGGCCAGTTTTTCCAGAGCCGCCCGAACTGGGTGTGCTGGCCTTTTGGATGGACCTCGGACTTGCTGAGTGACCTGTCTTGGCGCCTCCCTGAAAGCCCATGTCCCCACTCGCATCCTGTCGCGTTCGTCCAGTTGTCCACCTGTCGGAGCCGACCTACCTACGTCCGGTGCCCGGACCGACCGGACGGTCGTCGGCAGGATCTCTCCAACACGGTGCCTGGACGCTTGGTGGACGTCCGGGGGACGACCTCGGTTCGAAGCGTCTGGTCGACGTGAGGTGAGGTGACAACCCAACAGGGAGGAAAACATCGGGGGGGTTTTGAGGTATACAGGGGGGGGGTGTCGGTGGTGATACCGAAGCTGATAAGGAGTTGGGACGGGAGGTGAGGAGCAGGGAGTTGAAGAGGGGGTTTCGTCTGAATCGCCCAAGGAGTCTTATGACTCTTGGATTGGTTCACCGGGAAGAGGGGCGTGTTCCTTTTCGGGAGACCCCCTTTCTCGCCCCGAAGGTCCTGATTATTTTACATATATAATCTGATACATATAGATTGAGAGTAGGGGGCACAGACCCGATCCAGAGGTGGGTGAAAATGGACCCCCATCTAAAGGACATCATGGGTTGCCAGTGCCATCTACTCCGAAACCATCTGAAACCACTGTATTCATGACATACCGGCCGGGCTGGGGCGAAACATGTGATGATGTCAAGATGTCCCTCTCCACGGCGCCGATGCTGGCCCCCGCAACCCTCCCTTGCCACAGGTGCAACGATGATGAGCAGATGATGTGCCATGACTTGGACATTTCTTAGGGTTTGGTTATGGAGGGTTCCATGACGCCCCTGGGAACACGTGGATCAAAAGAGCAATTCCAACAGCTTGGCCCCAGGCCCCAGGTGCTTCCACTGACCTGTTCCATGCAGTCCTCCAGATACGGCCTGGCGCTCTTGGAGTTGGACGATGCCGACTTCTTGCGCGCCCTCGCACTGGAAGCGACAGGCACTGCCGCCCCGGTCGCTGGGCGACGAGCCGAGACTTGACCGAAAGCCAACCGTTGACCAGCACCACAGCTAAGTGGTGTCCACTAGAGTTAGCCGTTAGCCACCTACTGGGGGGGTCCACGTAGAGGTGCCTTCCATTCAAGAGGTGCCGGGGGCCCAATGTGCTCAGACCACAACCCCGCCCGCCCGCCCGAAAGCATCAGGGTGTTCTTGTCGCAAGATCGCCACTCAATGGTCTTTCGACGGGCGCTGCGGCGCAGGGCGCCTGCCAGAGTTCACGGGTCAAGGCGTGTGGTTCGCGCGGCGAAGCTCGCGGTTCGCTCGCGACTGGGGACGAGACGTCGGGACTGAGGGGAGGCGGCTGTTCTGTTTGAAGAGGGGGAACACACTGGCACAGGTCATGGATCCGGGGGTTTCGGATTTATAAAGCCTATAGAAGATTGGGGCACTCGACCCCCTGGCAGGGTGGATGGGTCATGATGGGTCTAGTTCCTGAACCTGGAAAAAGAGGGGCGTACCTTGCCTGGAAGGTTTCCGTATTTTCATGCACACCCACATGTCAATGGAGAAATGACCCAGTCTGGCTTGATGGTATTTTAAGACATGAGGTGGGCCATATTTTGACACATCTGGGCCAAATGTGGGCCATTGATTTCCCATTGCGTGCACTGAGCCTGGCGGTTTTTTTTTGGGTCTTGGTGCGAAATGCGGTATTAGTTGATTGTGGAATGGCCCATCCACCGGTTCACGGCATGCGCACGATCCCTTCGTTTTTGTTTTTAGTCGATTTCGCCATTTCAAAATCCTTCTGGCGTGAGGCCCTGTGGATCTTAATGCAGGTTGGCCTCGTCAAGTCGAAGAAATCACCCCCACAAGTAGTAAACTTGTCCGATTGCAACCCCTCAATCAGCTACAGCTAGTATCTACCTTCCCCAGCATTTCAGCCTTCAAAGGCGCCCCCGAGATGCCCCACCGCCGTTCTCGGCGCTTTCCCCTTCCGCAGCGGCGTCCGTGCGAGCGGCGCACGCGCACGTCACGGCGCCAAAGACAGAAGCACCGGCTGAAACCGAAGATGGACCCTGAAAACTCGACAAACAATCATGTAAACAACGATACCTGGACCTTCAAAGGGGTGCTCAATGGAGATCAAGTGTAAACAACGATACCTGGACCTTCAAAGGGGTGCTCAATGGAGATCAAGTGTAAACAACGCTGTCTGGACCTTCACAGGGGTGCT